AGGGCTCCACTTTTCAAACGGATCCATTCGTTCCCTGTCTGCCCAATTCAGTTCCACCTGCCAACCCTACACCATCAGAATCAGGATAAAGCTTGGAAGGGACGCTGGAGGTCTTCTAGTCTAGCCCCCTGCTTGAGCAGTTTGAAAACCTATACAATCTCAGACAAGTAGCTGTCTAGTCTCCTCTTAAAAACCTCCAGTGTTGAAGCACCCACAATTTCTGGAGACAAGTCGTTCCAATTATTAATTTTTCTCACTGTTAGGAAATTTATCCTTCCTTCTAGGTTGACTCGCTCCTTGTTTTGTTTCCATCTATTGCTTCTTTTCCTGTCCTCCAGGACTTGGGAAATAAATTGACCCCCCCCCTCCTCTTTGTGGCAGCCCCTTAAATACTGGAATGCTGCTATCATGTCACACACACACACACACGCCCCGCCAGTCCTCTAGACTAGCCAATTGCCAATTCCTGCTTAAGGTAGTTGCATAGTACAAAGAGAGTTAAGGAGAAATTTCCCGATGGAGGCAACAATAATCGGTGGAATAGCTTGGCTCCCGACAGTTGTGGTTACTCCATCACTGAAAATTTGCAAGAATAGATTGGAGAAGATTTGACTGCAGTGGTATATAGGCCTCCTGCCGTTCTGACCCAAACTTTGTTCCAAGGAAACAAACACGGAACAGAGGTAACGACAAAACCTTTTTAATGGTTCTTTATGAATTCCGGTTTCTTCCTGGTTAAAAGGCTGTTTCAAACTAATTGTCTCTGGTAAGAACGAGTCTCGCCGAGGTAGTGCCAAGGCTGCCAAGAACATTACACAAAGTTACTAAGAAATATTTCAAACCGAAAGAATCTCCAAACACCAACCAAGATATTCCAAACGTCCACAAGGCTCGAGTGCAAAAAGTTCTTTGCTTCCTGCAAAGAACTCCGGTTTCTCAGCTGGCTTTTATCTCCTGAGGGAGGGGCCATTACCTTGCAGCCTTACTCCCGAGTCGCCCGTGCTGCTACAGCTGCTCTTTCCTTCGAGCAGCCCTCTGCGCATGCACGCTGGGCACAGGCTCCTCGGGGGCCTCTTCCTCACTGCTGCCAGCCTCCACCATCTCTGAAGGCAACACTCCGCTCCCTGATGGTCCTGGCCCCATCCCTGCATCACACGCAGGCCCCTCATCTGAGTCCTCGCTCTCCAACACCTCAGCCATCCACACCTGCTGCCGGTGAACCACAACACCTGCCTTGAAAAGGGGTTGGTCTAGAAGACCTCTGAGGTCCCTTCCAGTCCTATGGTTATTTGTTTTAAGGGTAATGGCAGGAGTTAATGTCCTTCATCAGCTGCCAAAGACCAAAGTTTGCCCTGGGAAATTGAAAATGGGTTCTCTTTTATTAGTTTTTGTTCAAAATTTGGAACTTTTATAATGGTTCTAAATAATATATTATATGTATAATATAATTTAAGTACAGGCGATCCTCATCTTATGACAACAAGTGAGCCCAACGTTTCTGCTGCTAAGCGAGACAATGGTTAAAGTGAGTTTTGTCCCATTTTATGACATTTCTTGCTACGGTTCTTAGGCGAATCACTACAGCTGTTAAATTAGTAACACGGTTGTTAAGTGAATCTGGCTTCCCCAGTGGTTTTGTAAAAGGGGATCCCATGACCCATGGACAGTGCAACCGTCATAAATATGAGCCAGCTGCTGTGATGACCCAAAGGGGCGTGGCACAAAAGCAACAAAGTCACAAAAGTAGGTAAAGTCCCTTTAATACCTCCAACTTGGCCCCCAATGTCCAGTTATCGTCGGCTGGAGAAAAAAAACTCTCCCAAGAAAAGTCTTTAAAGGGAAGAAATTCAGTCCGAACCCAAAGTACATATAAATTATAAATAAAAACCAACACAAACCACTCGCTGCAGCAATTAACGAGACAGGGCAGGATAAGGAATTGCAGACTTCAAAAGATAATGAAACGCACACAGTTGGGAGGATGCCGGAACTCAGATAAAACTTGACAAACCAAAATAATTCACGCTTTGCTTCTAGCGAGGAGCTGTGCTTAAACACCCTCTTTATCCTGTTTTCCCAGCTGCAGCTAATGAAGGGAATCAGGGCCTTTTTCTTCCCCGTAACCCATGTTGCTCCCTTCTCTGTTCTTCCCTGCATGCCCTAGGATGAAGAGGGGGTGGGCCTGGGTCTTCCTCTGAAGGTCCAGCAGGACTGTGCCCTTCCCCAGTTTTCTCCACAGCCCCCGGAGCCACACTCCCACTCCCTGTCAGCTATTCCACCTCCCCCTTGGAATCAGATTCCCACAGGGGATGACAGCCAAGGCTTTGAGTTTCGATCGCGTGACCACGGAGATGTTGCATTAAAAACGATCATAAGTTGCTTCTTTCAGTGCCTCTGTAACTTCTAACGGTCACTAAACGAACGGCCACAAGTCGAGGACTACCTGTATTTGGAGATCTTTTCCTAGACACCATTTTTTTTTTTAAAAAAAAAAATGCGGATCTGTGCCTGTTTGCATTTCTGAACGCAGTGATTTCTTCTCCCTGCTGTTTGATGGGTCACTTTCAAGATTTGTATTCTTCGTAAGGAAGAAGAGAACAAGAGATAGGAAGCTGTTAGAGAATATTTTGCATCTCATCAATTCACCCTTTTGCAAATTGCGCTGTTGGGGGGGGGGGGGAACCATTAGCACAGAAGGGAAAGAGTGGGGAAAATGTACGTTTGCATAACAAAACCGTCAATGTGAAGCCCAAATATTCATTTTCGGAAGATGCTTCCTGTTGTGCCTCTCCATGAATGCCTAGTCTCGATGGTTTTTTTCTCCTAAAGCGTCGTTTCCCAACCTTGTCAACTTTTAAGGCGCGTAGACGTTGACTCCCAGAATTCCCCAGCCAGCCTTTCTGGCTGAGGGATTCTGGGAGTTGAAATCCATGCCTATGAAAGTCACCAAGGTTGGGAAACCCTCTCCTGCTGTTGGAAGGAAATGTTGTGGCCTGACAGCGGTTAGCAGAGGTGGTAGCAAATTCGGACAGTGAGGAGGCTGGGGAGAGTCCTGGAGTCTGGGATTAGTTCATTCCGGCCTGCTTGCTCAGATGAGGGCTCTGTGTCGGAGGCAGAGACGGGGCCAGGGCCATCCGACAGTTATCGGCTGCCTTCTGAGTCAGACATCAGTGAGGCAGAAGAACAGCTGGAGCCTGTTCCCGGTGCGCACATGCGCAGAGCTGCCAGATGAAGGGAACAGCAAAGGAACAAGGGCCTTGTCTGAAAGATACTGGCCTGTCCACGCTCCAAGCTCCATAAAAGCTTATAATTGGGACCTATCGTGAAAGACTGTTGGCCTGGACTTTGTTGGAGAGGAAATTCATTGTAAATCAAATAAAAGGGGTTTATTGGGAGGAGGGCTCGGCCTTGTGCCGATGGGGAAAGCCCAGATCAGAACAGAAAAATCCACCTGGTTGGGTTCCAAGCTGGGAGAAAGACGCTAGAAACAATATGGAGGCCCATTGGAAAGATGGTTTAATGATGAACGGATCCACCCACACAAAGACTGTGCAGTTCTGGGCCAACTGAACAAACGAATGAATGAGTGGATGGACCTTTAGAGGTTTATGTGACTTTAAAGTTTGAACTATTCTGGGGAGGGGGTGTTGTGCAATGAAGGGGGCTTATGTCTTTTGCTCAGTGGTGGTGAGTTAATTCTATTATGTCCTAAAACAAGGGTGTCAAACTCGATTTCATTGAGAGCCACATCAGGGGGGTGTTTGACTTCAGAGCTGTGGGTGTGGGTGGTGTGGCCCTGGTGAGCGTGGCCAACTCGACATCAGTCGTGTCGGGGCAACTGTGGTGGCCAAGTGCTAAGGCACCATTTCCCTGAGACCTTCCTTCTCATTATTTCCTTCCTTCCTTCCTTCCTTCCTTCCTTCCTTCCTTCCTTCCTTCCTTCCTTCCTTCCTTCCTTCCTTCCTTCCTTCCTTCCTTCCTTCCTTCCCCTCTTCCCTCCTTTTCCTTTATCTTTCCTCTTTCTCCTTTCCAGTACCTCCTTGCAGGCTCAAATGCAAAATGGGGAAAACATTTCTCTTTTTGTTTTGTTTTTAGTTGTTTTGCTAGCCTGGCAGAGGGTTGCAGGAAACCGGCATGGCCAAAAATGGTGCACAGCGAGGGCCCCATGTGGCCCTTCCGAGCTCTGTTTATACTGGCAGAGGCACTGCAGGCCAGTCCTTTGCTGTTTCCTGGGCGGCCCTGCGGGCCGAATTCGTCTCCAGGGCCTTGAGTTTGACACCCCCCATCCTAAAGAGTCCGAATTTGGGTGGAGGAGAATGTAAATTTTAATCCCGTCTTTGGAGGTGAAGTTCTTTTATTCTGCGAAGAGGCTGGCCCAAAATATTTCTTAATGGGCACAAAATATCTGCTGGCGGCTATTAAGGAAGACCGAGTCTGCTTTCTGTCTTTTTAAGAGCTTGCTTCTCCATTCCCACCTCCCCCTTTTTAGGGAAATATAATATTCTGCCTCAATATTTCCCCAAAATATTTCATTCTTTTGGGGGCCGGGGAGAGATTTCCCACATTACAGAAGGCAAAGAGGGTGTCATACCGTTTTGAATTTGCTTTTAAATTTAAAGCCAGTTTTAAAGTGTTGAGTTTGAAATAAATCCTGAGCCTCGAATGGCTCAGTTTCAGCCTTTGCTGGGCAGGGTTGGACGTTCAAATCCAGTCCAAAGGGGGTTAGAACGGCCTGTTTCGAACTCGGAGCAAGACGTTTACGAATCCCAATTTTTTTTTTTCCAGAAGGGTAAAAATGTGCTTTGAGAACTCTTCTCCTCTAACCCATGTTGTCAACTGTTATTATGCAATCTGTGTTTCTATGTATATATTCTGTGGTATGTATATTTTTATGTACTTTTTTGTTATTGTTGTTTCCTTTTCAAGTAACTGGCTTATAACCACCGTCTCCTTTTGTATTTTGTTTTTTTCTGTTTCCTTTTTCGTTTTGTTACCTTCAGATACCTTTGGTAAGTGAGGTTTCTGTTTAAATCGATCCTTCTTTTAGAAGTAAAAAATTAACAACTCTTAAAAACGGCTGCTGCCCAGATCTTCCCTGTCCTCTATCTTCCCACTTCTTAAACTAATTCTGTTTCAATAGCTTTTTTCTTCCTTTAAAAGGCATGCCTCTCCCGTTACTAACGCCTTATATTTTCCGTAGGATTATCTTGCCTGGTTGAACTAACTCAGAAATGGGGTATTACAGGCTGCAAAAAAAATAATAATAAGTCTCCCGAATTTTATTCCCGTTTTCCCTCCGAACCGAAGCTTGGAACTTCTATCTGCATTTCCGCAAACTTTTCTGACATTGGCTAGATCCTGCCGATTTAGGAAAAATTAAAAACAAAATGCAGAGCCTTGACCTGGAATTCCCCAAAGTAATTCACAGCTTGGTCCCTAAATTCAAGCTCCCTTTCCACTTTGCCTCTGCAAACCAGAACTGAGGTTTGGAGTTTTATATCGAAGAGCCGCTTGGTAAAGAATTTTGTTTTGTTTTGGGGAAAATTTGGTTTGATTTGCAGGAAAAAGGGGTGTGAAAAGAGCTTGCCCGGATATCGAGACCCGTGTTTTAAAATTTCAATATTATTTTTTTAACTGAGCCTTGAACATACTGCAAAATATTTGTCCTGCTTTTCTCATTTTTGGAGGCAGCTGAAGTATATATACGCGTTCTGAGCTAGGTTTCCTTAGAAAGCATAAAACACAATCTTAAAATCCCGGCAAAACCTCTTTTATTTCCGCGGCTGTAAATTGTTCCTTCACAGCCTGCAAGGCTTCACCAACGGTCTTTCCGGGGAATGTTTATAAACACCCACCGTATCTCACTTGGAAGGCGGCCAGACGCAGGGCGAGGCCAAACTGGACACAGAGTCACACAGAACTTTTCAAAGCTTGAACCAACAGGGTAAACTAATTGCTTCCTGCAAAAGCTCACCTCCTCTCCGAGTTGCGGCCTTAACTCCTGAGTCCACCCTGCTTTCTCAATTGTTCTTTTTCTTCTGGTAGCCCTGAGCATGCGCAGGCTGGGAACCGGTTCCAGAAGCTTCCCTGCCTCACTGCTGTCTGAGCCCGAAGGCAGCTGCTGACTGCCAGCCTGCCCTGGCCCTATCTCTGCCTCCGATGCAGAGCCCTCCGCCGGGCCTTCCTCAGGCTCCAGAACCGGCCCAGGTTCCTCCCCAACCTCCTCACTATTGTCCAACTCTGCTGCCAGAGGCCCACAACAATACATCTATATATTTTAAAAATGCAAAGCAGGACATTTTAAATGGGTAATATTTTGCTTGTTTCCTGTTTAACCCTTTGCGAGCAGCGGGAAGACAAAAAAAAAACAATGATCAGGAAAAAAAACTGCAAAATTCCCACAGAAGGGGGAGAAATTCCCTGATTTTTCTTACCCCCCCCCCCCCCCTGTTTTCCTGCTTTAGGGATTTTCAGTCCCTGGGAGCCTTTCCTTAATTTAAAAGCCAGGGACTTATCGAAGTAACCTCACAATGGTGCATTGCAAGCTTTTGGCATGAGGATGCTGCATTTCAGTAAATGAAATATTCTAATGTTTTTGATGCACCGTTTTTTTTGGGGGGGGGGGGGAAATGCCCTACTTGGGAGCCTTTGCTTTTGCAGGAGGTGTACCCCCAGAGAGGTGACTTAGAGAGGGACCCGCAGGAAAAGCGATCCAACTCCCGTTTCCCGGAGGGAATTCCATCAGCAGATGCTATGGGCCCGTCTTCTCTTGGTTGCCATGGAGACGCAGCCTCCGCTCAGCTCACAAATGTACTTTAAGGATCTCTTCCGCATTCTTTTTTTTCCCTCCCCATCGAGAACTTCATGGGATTGGAGGGTGTGTGTGTGTGTGTGTGTGTGCTCAGCTCTTCAATTCTGTAATTTCAGGGTGGCCTTTAGCCCCAGGCAGGGAGGACTGTGTCTCTGAGCATAAGCAGAGGGCCTTCAACGCCCTCCTCCCCTCCTTTTCTCCCCTCATTCTTGCCGGAAGTAATGGGGATTTAGAAAGCACCACGCTGGCTTTGTCGATAGGCTTCGAGTCCCAGCATCCCTTGCAAACACAGCCTAGGGGCGTGATGGCGAGCCTATGGCACGCGTGCCACAGGTGGCAGGCAGAGCCATTTGTGAGGGCATGCGAGCTCCAGCCAAACCTACCTGCATTGCGCATGCGCGTGCCTCCCAGCTAATTTTCAGCCCGTTTGAGGCCTTTTTCGTCCTCCCAGAGGCTCGAGGGAAGCCTCTGCAGACTTGGGAGGCCGAAAAATGGGCCTTCCGGAAATACCGGAAGTGCCTGTTTACAGCCTCCGGGGGGCTTTTGGAGCCTGGAAGAGGCCTCTGCAGCCTTGGGAGGCCGAAAAATGGGCCTCTTTCGGCATTTCTGGTTTTTCCTGTGCTCCCCCGCGCGCAAACACCAGCATGCACCCCGGAACCCAGAAAAGCAACCGGTGACAGCTGGCGTGCCCCGAGAGTGATGGCTCTCTGCATGCCACTTCTGGCACGCGTGCCATAGGTTCACCATCATGGGCCTAGGGTTAGGGGAGGGATTGGGGGAGCTTTGAGGTGGTTTCACACCGCAAAGTAATGGCGAAGGTTGGCAGCCCCTGGAAGACCCTTCTCTGGGTTTGGAAGCTAAGCAGGGTGAGTCTGGGTTATTACCTGGAGGGGCGCCCAGCCAAGATAAGGAAATTGGTGGGAAAAATCTTGTTGTAGTTAAAGGAGAAGGGAATTAATTAGATTAGATTAGATAAAATTAGATTAGATTATATTGACAGAGTTGAAAGGGGACCTTGTAGATCATCTAGTCCAACCCAAGCAGGAGACCGTACGCCATTTCTGACACTCCAGTCTCTTGAAAGCCTTCCAGTGATGAAGCTCCCACAACTTCTGAGGGCAATTTCTGTTCCATCGGTTGAGTGTTCTCGCTGTCAGAAAACTTCCCCTTATTTCGAGATTGAATCAAAAGTGTGCACTGACCCTTGCTCGACATTTTTGGCCCGAGTCCCTTTGAAGCAAGGGGCTCCAAACTTGGCAACTTTAAGACTTGTGGACTTCCAGCTACTGGCTGGAGAATTCTGGGAGTTGAAGTTCACAAGTCTTACGTTTGCCAAGTTTGGAGGCCCCCCCCCCTGCTTTTAAGAGACATGTTTGAGGGGGGGGGGGGGAAATCAAGGGTTTTATACCGGCTTTTTTCACACCCCACTTGGGAGAAGAAAAAAAATGAACCTCTTTCAAGCTCTTTCGATATGAAACTCCAACAGGAAAAGAAAAAATCTGCCATCTGTGCCCAGTTCTCCCAGTCCCATCGCCGTCCGCTCCTGGTTGCCCTCATTAAGATAGCTTAATAATTGTATTAAGAAAGCAAAGACAGTCCCGAGAGTGAGTGGTGCCTTGGGTGTGATCCCAAAACACCTGGAGCATCTCTGGAACACCGCCGGCATTGACAACATCCCCATCAGTCAATTTGCAAAAGGCAGCTTGTCTCGAAATGGCTCGCATCCATTCCTCACTCTGGTCAATCCTTACCGTTTTACTAAACCATTCCAGATTTGAGTCACAGATGGCAGATATTTTTTCCACTCTGAGTTATTTCTTTTTTTCTTTCTTCCTTCCTTCCTTCCTTCCTTCCTTCCTTCCTTCCTTCCTTCCTTCCTTCCTTTCTTTCTTTCTTTCTTTCTTTCTCTCTCTCTCTCTCTCTCTCTCTCTCTTTCTTTCTCTTTGTCTCCTTCCTTCATTTCCCTCTCTTCTTCTTTTCTGCCTTTTCCTTCCTTCTTTCCTTTTCCTTCCTTCCTTCCTCACACCCTCTTAGTTTCCTTTCTTCCGCCCTCCCTCCTTCCTTCCACTTCCCACCTTCCCTCCCTGCCTCCCTCTCCTTTCTTCCTTCTTTCCTTCCTTTATTTCTCTCTTCCTTCCTTCTTTCCTTCTTTCCTTTTCCTTCCTTCCTCTCTCCCTCCCTCCCTTCTTCCTTCT